GAGCACCAAGGAATTGCTGGTCCTTGAGTGCCACCCTTGTCTATTAGGTACCATTTGATGATAATAACACACTTTTGATAAAGTGGGATAAGTTGAATAAACAAAGGAGATGCCGTCGAAATTTATATAAAATGACAGATTTTGGGTGAACATTGGGAGAGCATATCTCTCTCCACAGATGTCCAATAAGGACGTTCCATACACCATTTTGAAGGTTGAAATGTAAAATATGTTGTGTCAAAATTTGGTAGCCATTAGAGCTGTGCGCATACCTATAGACGCGTTTGAGTTAGGACTGTCCAGAATACCCTACTGCAGGGGGCTGTCGGGTGATAGTTTTGAGAAATTTATTTCTTCCTTAATTCTTAGTCAAATTAGGCCCATGATATGTAAAATTGAAGCTTAAGGTGTCTAGTTTACTTTATAAAAATTTGAGAGCAATTGGTGTAGCGGTTTGTTCAGAATCGCAGAAATGGAGAGGTATGTTTGGTATCCTGTTCGGGGTTGGCTGGCAGATTTGCTTGTCCAACTTCGAACGGCGATAACCGGAGCAAATGAGAACTTTATGGAGCGTGTCATACCTTTTTGGAAAGGTAATTAAGTCTAGAATAATATACTAAAAGATGGGAGGTTCGTAGCATGTGGATTTCGCACAATGTCCAAAAAACTGAACCACGTTCAGATACGTAAAAATCGTAAAAGTGAGAATTATGCTAAGTGGGTTTATGAGAACCCCTTAGTGACTTAAGATAAGCATTGTATGATAGTTAGGCCTTTATTTTAATTATTCTGTGTTTAGATTTCAGTTATAATCACAGCTTTTATCATTACGTTTTATTATTGTGTTTAAATTCTTACGTAATGAAAGGAAAACGTTTACTCGTATTTTTCAATGAAGTGCTGTAATTGTAACTGTGCTTAATATCATAATCAATGTTAACAATACCAATGTACAACAGACTGTTACAAATTTTGTCATAAGTATGGTCAAATGAGGTTGGAACTTGTGGCTACCAAAGCAAGCCAAATCCAAATTGTTAAAAGCAAGCCAAGGCGGTTGGCAACGTGGTTGGCATCAAAATCGACACAATGAACTTGTGGTTAAAAAAGAAAGCGAAAAGCAAATTGGATTAAAATATGGCAGCAACAAGTCGGCAAGGAATGACTATAAATGTTAAGCAATTTTATTAGATTGTGTGTGTATTAATTGTATTAGAAGAAAAGAAAAGCAGAGTACCCATGTACTAAAGAGAAGAAAATGTCGTAGCACTTGGAAAGATAAAAGAAAGAGTGACCTTGAGTTTAAAAATAATGTGTTCTTGTATTTATTCTTTAGCCAATTTTAATACAAAAAGTTTCTTCATATATTATTTTCTTATTTTCTCCAACAGAATTCACCTCTCAGCTCTTACTGACCATAATCGAGTCCATTCACCTCGCCCTTAAAACTTTAATGGTGACCTCCTTTAGTTTCAGTTCGTACTGCTGCATCTTCAAGTCTCTGTTGTATTGACATATTTCACTCTATCAAAAATATATTATCTACCTCACCTTTTTGACAAGTTTAATAAGATATAAGATGAAAGCACGCAATGAAAAGAAAATAATATTGTTATAATTATTAATTATGGTATTGAAATGATGTGAGAAGGTAGTATCGAAGCAATTATAGTGATAAACTGAAATAAAGGTATAAATTAAGAGCACTTGAGAGGCTCTCATTTCTTTAAACTCTCATCTACTATCAAGTTGTATTTGTACATGTGCTCGTCTCCTCTTTTAAGCCTCGTTACCTAGGGTTGGTAAAAATGAGCTAACCCATCGAGTTGGCTCGTAACCCATCAAGTTGGCAAAAATGAGCTGCCAACCTGAGCCAACCCGACCCGAGCTAGCTCGAGAAAAAATGAGTCAACCTGCGGGTCAAACGGGCCAGCTCGTGGGTTGAGTTTTTATTTATTTATAAAAAATACAAAATATAATATCCAAAAATGGACAAAATACACACAAGTTGTCATCGTCTTTTTTCCTTTTCTAAACCTAAGTCCCTAATCTTCTCACATCGTTGCCATTTTTATAATGTTAGGTTGTGTTGGCTCTGTTTGTTTCAAATATCTTACCCACTTGGTAGAAAGTGGTTCTGATTGTTTCTCGATGTTAATGCAAATTTGTTATGAAAAAATTCGAAACTAGAAGATTTTGCTTTTACTTTTCATTCTATAACCCTTTTCTATTTTGCTTTTTTTATAAACTATTCTGTAAGACAATTGTTTGTTTAAGCTGATGGAAGCCATATAGCTGGTGCATTAATACTACAGATTCATTTAAATAAACTAAAAATGAGCCAACCCGCGAGTCATTTTCGAGCAACTCGCAGCCAATTTTTGAGCCAACTCGCGAGCCATTTTTTCAAGCCAACCCACGAGTCATATTTTTGAGTCAACCCTAACCCGACTCGAGTCGAGTGGGGTTGGATTTTCTGACTCATTTTTTTTGGGTTGCACACGGGTTGGGCCAGGTCAAGCCGGATTGGCCTGTTTTGCCAACCCTACTGTTACCCACTATGTTGTTGTCAAGCGCGAAAATATTTTTAATTTTTTTTATATAAATCACAGGTATTTTTTACAGGAGGCAATTCTGTTCAGGGTTGGTTCAGGATTAAAGCTATAAACCCCTCCTAAAAAATAATACTGGGTATAAGTTCTGGTGTGAGTTGATAATATACATTTTTTTTAATTCATTGTATAATCTCATAAAATATTTAAATGAAATAGTATTAAAAACTTATTTATACAATAAATAGGAGATTCAGTACTTCTATTAAAATCACAAGGATATAACATTTATGACCTAAACTAAGGTGTTATGAATTTTATTTGTTTCAATATGAGTTACTGGGCTGAGAAGAGGGTTGGTTATTATTGTCTTTAGTAGTATATCTTTTGGGACTTCTACGTGTTCAAATCAGCTAAAGTGTGAGAGAGTAGAATAATAATAGTCGGAAATCATACTTGGAGCTAGCCACAAATTCATAGAAGGAATACAAATATTGGATTTGAAATTTTTTATCGGTAAATAGTATCCAAATGCAATTATAGTTTTCTTTTTTTTCTTTATACCCACCTTAATTATTCTTTTGAAATGAATCAGTCATCTGGGTATCCTTACAAACTTCAACTCTTTGATGTGATTATAAGACTAATCCTGAGTCGGGGTAATCACAGTTAAATCTCTTCACCCCTCCACAAAGATATATTTGGTGGGAATTAAATTCAAATTTCTTATAAATTTCTTTTAGAGGGTGTTTGGGAGAAAAAAAATTAGGATTCCTAGAAAACTAAGAGTGATAATCTTACTTACCCATGTTTAGTACGAGATTTTTAAAAATTTTATGGAAATCTGATTTTTCTGGAATTTTATTATGTGTAAAATTTTCTGAAAATACCATCAAAGAATACCACTCAGGGAATGATATTCTAGGATTTCCATGGCATGGAAAAATTTAACACAAACAAATATAGTATTAAGAAAATTAGCCCAATATTTTCGAAAATATTTTGACCTACCAAATAATTTTTTGATAATATTCTCGAAAAATTTATTTGTCCATTATATTCCTGGAAATCATAATTCCTGAATAAAAAAAAAAATTTCACCCCCTTAATAATGGAATATGTGGGAATGTCATATATTCTTTTAATACGATTATTGAAAGATCTTAATCATCCATTATGTTCTGGACCAGTTGTCACAACTTATTTTTGACGGGTAATCAAAGTCTGTTTTAGACCGGCTGCTTGAACTACTCCTCGAGGCTCGTCTCAGGCCCAAAATATTGGACTATCCCCCACTCCCCTCGCACACTATCTTTTGCCCTCATGAGTACGGGGTCCTTATGTCATAAGCGCAACTTGGCACGTAGTTGTCAGAGAATCATGGATTCCTAATGACTCTGGCAAAGTCGTTACTCAGAGGAATCCTCAAAAGGAGTTCTTGTTTCTCCATCCCTACGGTCTCTTGTATAAGCCATGAAGCACCATGCTTCAAAAATTTTAACGTGTTGTGTTCGATACTTACCGACACTCTGACACTTTAATACTCATTGCAAAGACTCAAAAAAAAATTCAAAAGTTACGTTACGTTGTATTTTGAGTTCCAACTATTAGATTCGTTAGATTACGATTACGATTTTATTGAGTTTAATATAAATATTTGAAATATATTATGTTTCTTTGTAAAATAGATGAGTTTTATAAGTTTAGCTTTATTTTTTTGTTAAATTATTGAATACTAAATATACACTACATAAATTAAAAATATTATATAATATCAAAACATGTCCTAACGTGTCGGAGTGTCATATCGTATCCCGTGTCCCGTGTCGGTGTCGATGCAACATAGTATATGAGAGGAGGGATCTAAAAATCTCCGGATAATCCTGCTGTTACTCTACCTCGTATCAGCCATAAACACACACCTTTCTCATTGAACTTTGCTACTCATTGAGTTCTAGCACACACTTAGATTCCGTTGAAGTTCTTATACCTTGACTCCATTGGATCACTAGTATATTGAAATATTACGCCATCTACAGATATCATCATATTTATTATCCTTAAACTGAACACTTTCATAAATTAACGGATTAGCAATTAAAGTGATTATTATCAATCTCTTAATTTATGAACTTTTATATTAAAATTGACCATTAATTTATAAAATATGCATTATGCGTCCAAGTGAAGACCATTTAATAAGACCAATCCTAGAATATTAGAGAGTATTATAATCACATAGCCGCTTGGAGAGGGCTTGGAGGTAATTGGGGTTAGTGACCTGTAACACTCTCCAAGTCCCAATAATTTTTCTATTACTATTTTCTTCATTTATTCTTTTTAATATTTAAAATTCCACGTTATGGTTTCTGACTTTTGATTCGGAATAGGATGCATAAATGAAATAATTAAATTCATTGCACCAATGCAATTGCAATTACCAATTGAAGCATAGCATTGATCTCCGATCACCGACGATGACGGCGACCGCCATGGCCGCGACGGTGTCTCAGTTCTCGTGCTTCTCTGACACCAGTCGCAGCCTCCACCGGTCTCTTCGCTTCAATTCCAAGGTTCCCTTCTCACTTCACTTTTCGCGTTCGTCTCAAATCTCACTCTTTGAAATGCTCTGCTAGTATATGCTTGAATACAACTTGTGAAGAAATACTGAAGTTTTTAAACTTTGTTGCATTTCACATTTTGTTTTTGGTTGAATCCATTTCACGATGTTGCTACTTAATTTCCAGTGTGGTTCAATTTTTCTAGGGAGCGAAAAAGAAAAAGAAAATATATATTATTTAGTGTTGGGGCTTACAAGTCTATAATTTAAATATCTAAGATTGCTCACACTATATTTCAAACAATCTCTAACCACCTACATATATATGTCTTGTGTCAAATTTGAGACATTTTGTTTACAAAAAAAATTAAAAATAATAATTGAGACATTCTGCATGTATAGCACATGTTTAATTACCCCACTTCATTGCAATTTCTTCCTATTACTATTCTATTTTTATTTTTTTTATAAAAGAAGACTTTTCCAAAAGAAAGAGAAGTAAAAGAGCTCTGAATTTAGCAAGTATAATCACCAGAAGGGTCTAAATATCATGACATTTTGTCTGGAAAGTGGAACAACTACAGGATTCTAGACTGCCCAGTAACAAAGCAAGATCAGCAGCCTCTCTGTCTTGAAGAGTGAGAATTAGATATAGGGGACTCGATGAAGCTGGAATGATCATTCGTTCCTTTGTTAGTTTAAGCCTTATGGTCTTATTTGATAGATTTTACATCAAATGTGATAACTAAATGAGGGTTGGGATTTAGCTTGAATTGCATGTATCAAGCTGGTAAATGTATTTTGTAACATCCCCGTCTCGAGCCGGTTCAATTAACATATATATGATACAAACAGAAATAACGGAAGACTTAACTTACGAAAATACGAGCTAACTTTTTCTTTTTCTTTAATCCTTTTTCATATAATATCTCACATTGCATACTTCTCCTAATGTAATTCTTATTTGACGAAGACGAAAATCTGGCAGAATAACCTCTGTAAATTGGACAACTGGGGATTTGCCAATCCCGCTCTCAAGGGTTCCTGATAAACAATTTATACCATATATAATTTCAGAAATACCAGATATCCATATAAGACTATATACTCATCCATGGGCGCATGCATAAGTGGCTCTGTGCCACTATGTCTAACAACATACATATTTCAACACATGCACATATCTGAATACATAAATGTACATGCATCAAATATGAACACATGTACAAAACATATACGGACCATCATAGTTTTAAATAGCGGGTAGCGGACAGTAGCGGCCGACCCCCAAAACGCTACAGCGGTATAGCGGGTAGCGGTAAAGCCGCTACTGTGAAGTCCATATTTACTTATAATAAATTATACCACATATATAAATACTATATAAATTCTATAAGATAAGAAATCACCCAAAATAGAAGGAAATGAGGAATAAAAAATATAATACTACACATTCAAAACAAGGATTCAAGGAACATAAAGGAACCAACATATTAATTCAATGAAAGTAACTAAATTAATAACAATACAGCAAAACATATTTTTTTTAAGGTCATTCTTATTACATCAAAAGATCAATTATCTCATATATCATTTAGTATGATTTATTTTATGTGAGAGAATTCTAAATATTAATGAATAAATCAACAATAATAATTTTGTAATTTTCTATTTTAATATAAAATGTAAAAATTTAAATTATATATGTATATATATAGATATTATGGTAACAAATTATTTTTATATTACATTAGAAGATCATGCAAATTATAATTTATTTAAAGTATATAATATAAATCTTGATTATTAAAAATAAATATATTTGATTAAAATGTGAATTGGTAGATAGAAAAACAATGGGACTTGAAATTATTGTTATTATGATTATAAATAAAAATAGGAAAGAGGAGAATAGGGGTAATGATGCAGTGAACTAGGAGAAGGAGCTATCAAAACTCAGTTCTCAAGAATCTGAACAGTAGCTGCAGCATCACCTACAACTTTTTTTTTCTCTTGACTTCTTCCCACTATTTCCTTTTTTTTAATTATGTATTAGGTGGCATTATTAAAATTATCAAACCAAGCACTGCTACGGACACATTACCCAAAAGCTGGCAGCAAAATCAATGAAGAAAAAGGAAGGTGATAACGTTACCCAAAAAAAAACGCTGGCTTTTTCAATAAAATATTTATTTTACCCCTCACTTATTCTGGACTTTTCCTATTATACCCTTAAATGATACTCAAATTTACAAAATGCTGCCACCGTGCTCTTACGTTTCTTTTTCTCCTCTAAATGTCTGTAACTTCTCTTCCTTTTCCTGTAGCGGCGCGATAGCGCCGCAAGAGCTGCCGTCCGCCACCGCCGCAACCGGCCGCTACTGACCGCTACCGGAAACCGTCGCGTCGCGGTGCGAAAATAGCGGTTGGGTGCCGCAACACGCAACTGAAGCGCTAATGCGCGCTAAAGCGGCGCTATTTCAATCATAGCGGACCATATATTGTATAATGGATCAAACATCATGATCCCAAAATGAATAGAACACTATACAACAGTACATATTCTCCAAAAATAACATCTATAATAAATAGTAGCGTCCAGCCACCCAGAACTCCATATCCTCATACTAGTACCTCTAGCCACGAGTAGTGTCTTTGTCCCGTGAGGGCTCTTCAATTAACTGTGTTCCTGAAATCATATCTTCAAACAGTGTTAGAGATGAACCTCTAGTAAGCTTCAGGTTTATAGAGAACTCTCCATACCCTGGGCTCACTTCCTGCATGACAGTCAGATACATAATATACAAAACATCATATATCATAACAGAACAAAATATATACACATATCTCATCAGAGACGTACACAGTCATTCCCAAGGGATGACCCCAAGCGGAAATCAACGCACGTAACAAATATCATAAACAAAATCATCACAATAATCACATCAGAACAAAACATATCTTATCAGAGACGTACGCAGTAATTCCCAAGAGATGACCCCAAGCGGAAATCAACGCACGTAACAAATATCATATACAAAATCATCACAATAATCACATCAGAACAAAACATATCTTATCAGAGACGTACGCAGTCATTCCCAAGGGATGACCCCAAGCGGAAATCAACACACGTGTTCCCAAGGGAGGACACCAAGCGGTACCAGAACATATCAGAGGTGTACACCATCAGTCCCGAGGGATGACCCCAAGCAAACATCAGTGCAAATAGGATCAATGGCCAGAGATCATCACATAACAGAGGTGTACACAGTCAATCCCAAGGGAGGACCCCTGGCAGAAATTAGTGCACATGTTCCCAAGGGAGAACCCCAAGCGGAACTCGACATATAACAGATATACACAGTCAGTCCAAAGGAAGGACCCCAAGCGGACATCAGTGCATATACAACTCAATAGATAGAGATCATTACAGAAATCACATCAAAACATATCAAAGTCAACACATCAAATCATATCAAAGTAAACACATCAAATCATATCAAAGTAAACATATCAAAACATATCATATCACATCATCATATAGCTCTATATGGATGCATCTATATCATATATCTCATACATATCATACAACCTGACCACAATCTGTACACTATGGCGGAACACAAAGTAGGAGCGAACCCCATAAACATAGAGCTTACCTCTTGAAGCTTTGCCAACCTGCTCACTTGTACACAAGTTACCTATTTAGCTCCAAGGCAATTCAAACCCTCTCAGTCCCTAGGCACACCTAGAGAGAGAATTTCAAGACAAAGTCAATAAAATGTTGTAATGCCCTGAAATTTACACAAGGCATACATCTTATTGCCTACTTTCTTTTTTACACTTATGCCAAAACTATGCCAATACACAAGTCAAGACCATGCTTTCATAATTTCCTTTAATTTGCCATTTTATAATCGTTAACGTTCCCTAGCCCCACAAGGCCTATATGGCCGAATCAACACCTTGGGAAAGCCAAGAATTTTGCATCAAATCAATAGATACAACTCATAGTTCCTAGAACCCACACACAGCCCCTAAATTATTCAAATATTCTCATAACAATTTTAAGTTTAACTTTGTCTAATTTTTGTTCACAAGGTCATGGCAACTCATACAAGGGAACTAAGGTGCCTCTCATTTTGTCTTAAACCATTTAACTTCCAAATCATACTAAAATCATGCATTAGGACTTAAATGCATCATCAAAATAATTTTAACATAATTTTCCCTAATAATACCCTAAAGGCCGAAATGCATAGGGTAGGTTTCCAAGGGATTTTCCACCATGTAATCTCACTTTCACACTTAATTTCAACATACACCAATATTCAAACCTTCACAATTTATGCAATTAATTTTTGCACATAAACCCTAAATACGTATCATGGCCGAATTCTAGGGTGGTTCAAGGGGACTTTTTCTTAATTTTTTAAACACATGTTCATGATTATTCTACATTACAACTTACTACACAACACTAATTCATCACAATTTTCCAATTTCAAACTCAAAATTTCCCACCAAAACATGCTTCAAACTTTCAAGACTTAAATCACAAAAATCAAACCATGGAAATAGAGATTTCTCACCTCTAATCCCTTATACCAAGCCTAGAGAACAACATCCAAGCAAAGCTCCATGAAAACCACAATTTTTCTCTTTAATGAATAGTAACTCGCACAAGGGGAAGAGAAGAACTTTTTACTCAAGCATTTTCAACCTAAAATAAGGGGTGGAACGGATTCATTGGATGATTTCCTATTGATTTCATGTAATGGACATTTTCATTTGGATGCTTGTGTAGAGAGAAATCAAGGGAAGAAATTTTGAAACCCAACCCCACCCATGGAAGAGCTTCGACAAACAGAGAAGGAGAAGAAGAAAGGCAGCGTGGAGGAAAGAAATAAAGGAGTTTACTATGTGTAAGTTTAAGTTACTTTAACTAAGTAATAACTTATCTATTTACACACTTCCATCCAATACCAAACTTTACCCAATGAACTAGAATATTTTTCCAGTCATATTTCTAACTTTACTTTTATTTTTCGGGTAACTTTGCTTACCCGCATTTTTACCCCTTAACTGTCATCTTAACTCTTTTTTCACCAAAGGTGACTTTATTTCTTTTTCTTTATAATTATTCTTCAATGTTAAATCCATAATAAATGTATTTGTTAGTTAAAATTTAGAACAGAGTATAAGTGTATATGAACAAGATGGCACTAATAATCTAGTGAAAACTGAAAAGTACAACTAGTTCAATAGATTACATAGGCTTTTTTCTTTTTTTTGCATTTACTGGACTTCATATTAAACCTATGTGCTTGTATGTGACCAAGTGTGTCCTTTGATTCATGTAGCTGATCCCGCCAAGTGGGAAAAGGCTTTGGTTGCAGAGCGTGAGACATTTATATCAATAAGCATGCATAAATAATATATTTTTGTGCAGTAAAAGTTTGCTAGAGCAATTTTATTTGATATTAAGACTAAAGCTGGAAGCATATCTGATATAGTTATCAGTTGTTATGAGTCTCGAGAGGCATGACACAAATATTGCTGGTTCTGATGCCAAAAGTACACTGAGTTACGCTGCTGAAAAAGGTGATGCCGAAAAAGTAGGGCTTGGAGGGACAGTGCTGGAAGGTCTCAGTCAACAAAAAAGGACTGCAAAAATACATGATTTTTGTTTAGGCATTCCCTTTGGTAAGTGTTCCTTGGTTGATTATTTGCATGTTAGGTGACTTTACAAATACATGTTGCATTTCTCTTTGGTATCTGTCGATAAAATTTTGGCTTAATTCTGTAATCCCTCTAATTTTCAAAATCTATTGATTTGGTACTTCACTTTTCAATTGCTGCATGCAGTAATGTCCAACCCTTTAACTGCCATTGGACTCCTAAATGGAATATGATGATGTGGCATGTTTTTCCTGATGTGACATGACTGAAGTTGACTAGGTTTTAAATAAATTATGACTAGGTTTTAAACAAAGAATTCCAACTTTGACTTCTAGCTTGACTTTGCACATTTGAGTAGCCTTATCAATTTTGCACTTTACTTTAATCTTCTAGTACCATTTAAAACTTGTTGCCATGCTTCTCATTGAGTGCATCCTTGTTGAACTATGTTGGTCCTTAGGTGCTTTGTTATAATCAAAACTCCAATGTCATAGTGATACGAATATACTCATGTAGGTATATCATGTATGTAAAGTGGGTAGTAGGGAATTATGTTCTACCAATGAGGTGGTATAACTAACTTTAGAATATTCTAGGAGGTTAGGCTGGGTATAAAAGGAGGAATGTGTAGTGTGTAAAAGGGGGATTGGGAATTTGGACACACTTGGGCTGGGAAACCAGATTGGGAAAGAATCATAGCACTCTCTAATTGCTCTAAAATTATCTTTTGTTTTTCTTCCTTTTCCATTGTAATTGTCCTCTGTTTGTTTCTGCAATTGTTTCACTGTAATTGTCTTTTCTAGTTCAATATATAGAAAATCCAGATTGATTCTGGCCATTTCCTTGGTGTTTTGTGCGCTATCTCTAATATCTTTTTCCAGATCATATCACATAGTCTTTGTGACTATGGTTCAACAAAAAATTGGAGACTTCTCTGATCTGTTTTGAATAAAATGACTCCCATAAGATAATAACGCCATTTCCGGACTGCAAAGACTACAGCCATCAATTCTTTCTCATACACAAATTTTCCCATGGCTCTTGGAGAGAAACCTTGGCTGATCTAAGCAATAGGTCTACCCTCTTGCATCAAGGCAGCCCCTATTCATGCCCAGACGCATCTGTAACAACAGTAAAAGTCTTTTCAAAGATAGGCACAGCCAGCACAGGAACTATGCTCATGATTCCTTTCAGTTTGTCAAAAGCTAATTGAGTCGATTCTTCAAAATTGCAACCTTCATTTCTAGATTCCTGTCACCTGGATCGACTTCTGCTCCCTAGCCCCGCCATGTGTTGAGCCGTGTCATCCAGCCATTGGCCTTGCTCTGATACGCTCAGCCTTTGCAACACTTCATGTTGGCTTTCGTTACCTCTACGCACCCTTTCTTCCATCGAATCCCATCGATTCTCCATTCCTTGAGTGGATACCGTTCATAGAGCTCCTAGATCGGATCTCTGATACCGTGATAGGGATCAACCAACACATGGAAAGAAACAACCAACGAGACTTGTATTGATATGAACTATGAAGGTACAATGTATCAGTAAGGAAATTACAGTAATAGGGGAAGCGTAAATGGAAACTACAGAAGATGAAGTAACTCGAGCAATTGGAGAGGCTCTAGCTCTCCTACTCCCAGTCTAAACCAAGAGTCCAGATACCTCACTCAAACCATGTGCCTTCCTCTTATTCAGCCACTTTCCTGCCTCTCCACCTCAACTGTTTTCTGTTGAACACCTATACTAGAACCTTCCCCTCCTAACAGACCACTTGCTGACTCAGCAGCAGGGATTACTTGGACCTGGGCCCTATATCTGTTGTGTGCATATACTTTAAGAGATGGACCCGTATCAGAGTTGTTTCCTGATTTTGTTATATTTACTAGTTTGTTTCCTTACCCCTACCCTCGCTAGTTGGAGTTTGATGGGAGTGGTTTTTTACTAGTTTGTTTCCTTATTTAACTAATGTTAATAGTCTTATTGTATTAGTGGGCTCGGGCTTATACTAGTTAAATTACATTATATTGGACCTAATTATTAATCTAAATAGAACCACTGGTTATTATTTTGTAACACATCATCATTACACATCATATCAATCTATTATGGCTTATTAAACCATTCAGGCATCTATTCTGGTATCTGAAATGGAACATTGTGCTGCCAAACAGTGTTTGAATTTCTATGGGTGGCCTTTTGATTGTAACGTAAGTAATATGAAAATGTAGGACATTCTTTCGGTAAAATTGAATGTGATATAATATGCTAGGCTATTTTCCTTTTAAATAAAGATGTGATGTGTTATATATGCTTTCTTGTCGTAGGTGGATTTGTTCTAGGTGGGGGGATAATTGGATTCCTTTTGACACGGAGTCTTACAACACTGAGCAATGGTGTGCTCTTTGGAGGTGCTATACTATTGCTCAGCACCCTTAGCTTGAAGGTCTGGAGGCAAGGGAAATCAAGTTTACCGTTTATTCTAGGACAATCAGGTATAGGATTTTATGAGCCTTAAAAGACTGCTGCATGCTGTTGCTTAGAAAAATCGTTTTATCTCTTAACTTGTTTTCCTTTTTAACAGCATTGTCAGGGATTCTTATCTGGAAGAACTTTCAGAGCTACTCATTGGTATTATATCTATTTTGTCAGAGACTAACTTAGGTTTCATTCCGTTGCTATACTGTAGTTATTGTTCTTTTCTATATGCAGGCAAAGAAAGTATTTCCTACTGGCATCAGTGCTATCTTAAGGTACTTCAATCCTTGCCTTTAAACATTTGAATTTTATTATGATGGTTTGAAATTACCAATTTTTCATTAGCCTTTTGATTGCAACATGTCCTGGTTTTGGTCAAACTCTATGCATGCGACAAATTTATTTATTTATTTTGTGCAGTTTTGCAATGCTCTGCTTTTATTTGTATGTGCTTATCTCCGGAGGAAACCCACCACCTAAGAAAAATAAGTCTTCTGCTAACATGGCATCATGATGAGAAAACCACGGCTATGTTAGCCTATGTTAATTGGCATCTATACCAAAATTATGGAACTTGACACAAAAGCTGATTTATATGTTGTAGCTACCAAGAAAGGAAATATGAAACATGGATTGCTCCAAAAGCAAAGGTCCAAATTGCTGCCATTGAGATGATATTGATCGATCATTATGTTAGTTATAAGTTCAGGCAGTTTCTTGACTCATACCATGAGATATAACTATGGTTTATGTTAGAGTGCACTACAATTTTGGTCATTTATGATATTGATTGATATTCATATCCGTAAGTTGCTAACTTTGGGGGTGTGCTGTGTTTTGCTGCTGCTTCTTTTTTCACGTCATGTTTTTAAATAATCAAACGACATTAATTTATCCTAGTCACTATTATGGAGTTGGGATTATTTAGAGTACGTCTATGTATTTACGGATAGAATCTATGGTGTACCAACATATCAAAAATTCTGACGTGTCATGTTTGATACTTTCCGATACTCTTCGATACTCCGACACTCCAATACACGTTGCATAGACTTAAAAAGAGTTCAAAAGTTGCATTGAATTGCTTTTTTAGTTTCAATTATTAGATTTATTGGATTACTATTATTATTTATTAAGTTTAATATAAATATTGGAGATATCTTATGTTTCTTTATAAAATTGATGAGTATTATAAGATTATTTTTATTTTGTTGTTATTATTGAATATTAAATATAATATACACTACATATTTTAAAAATATTATTTAATATCAAAATATGTCTTCACTCTTGAAATCTAACATTTTTTTATAATTAATATATCGGAGCATTGTATTGTAATTCATGTCTCGTGTCACTATCGGTGCAACATAAGATTAAATAACTCTTAAGAAGTTGAACTATTTCATCGTAACCTAAGATGCACGTCGAGCTTCATACCTTTATCCATTAGTCAATAATTAAAGATAATTGAAATTTGAAAGGTCATTCCACGTAGGGTTAGCTACCTCTTGAAAGTTCTAACTCTAGGAAACATTACCAGATTAATCATATCCTAAACATAACGTCCCAACGACCAAAGGTGGTTTATTGGGATGAATATCAGAAGTTGAAAGAATGGAGAAAACTGTGCGAGAACCACCAGAGCGATCATCAGAGGAGGAAGACATACTAAAGCGAAGTACTAAACGTAATAAAGATCGTGGAGAAAAATTCTCACATGATGTATCAATGGTTCCTAGGGAGGAATCCTGGATGAAGGACCAAGAGGAGGGTCGAATTTCATGGAAGGAGATGCTGCAACGTCATAATGGAGAGAAGAATGATGGGGAGGGTGCTGATACTCTTGAAGGTGAGAATTTGCAAGGTGAACCAGCTGAGGAAGAAGACGTTAATTTTGAGGGCATAAAGATGTGGGTGGAAGAGGATGAAAAAACTCATTTTGGTTGCACTAAGAGAGGAAGAAGACGCTTGCATAGAGTGTGGGAAAAAGCTTTGATTGTTAAGCTGCTGGGCAGATCTACAGGTGTCTCGTTCATGAAGAAAAAGATTGAGGAGCTATGGGGAAGGAAAGGAAAAGTGAACGTCACAGATATTGGGAATGAGTTTTATGTGGTTCAATTTAGTGATGATGAAGACATGGAATTTGCTCTAAGTGGAGGCCCTTGGGTTGTCCTAGGTCATTATCTGTCCTTACGTAAGTGGGAACCTGGCTTCAGGCCTAATGCTGAGGGCATATCAAAGATAGCAGCTTGGATTCGCCTTCCTAATATTCCATTGGAATTTTATGATGAAGTTTTCTTTCGTAGGGTGGGTAACTGGATAGGGAAGTTAATAAAGATTGATAGGACTACAAACCTTCATGTTAGGGGTCGCTTTGCAAGGATCTGTGTTGAACTGGATTTGGCTAAACCTTTAAAAGGAGAGTATGTTCTTGAGGGAGTTTTGAAGCATATAGAATATGAAGGTCTAGGGCTCATTTGTTTCAACTGTGGAAAGTATGGCCATAGCAAGGATTGTTGTTCTGTGATTGTTCAAGAACAGATCGTGGTGAATGAATCTCATCCTTCTGGGGATGGTGAAGCTGATAAAGTTGAAGAAAACCGGAACGGTCTTGGCCCTTGGATGGTGGTTAATCGCCAACGCCGCCCTAGAAGCCAAGCTGCTACCCAAGATGGCAGAACGCCGATGACTTCGAGAAGAATCACTCAACGTGATTTTGGGGAGAATACTGCGCAATCAAAGCAGTTATCAGTGCAATCATATCAGCCTATTTTAAATGCAGTAAATACAAAATCACGTTATGACAGTTTAATGGTGATTGGGGATTTGAATCAAGCTGAGCTGGAAGTGATTAATGAGGAGCCTAATCATGGGCATAATCCTAGCGTAATTAATGACCAAAAATCAAGGGGAATTGAGGGAGCTATCAGCGTAGAAAATAATGGCATCATTAATAGTGGTTTAAAAGGTTTTAATCGAAAAGATGCCTCGAGTCATTCTAGCATTGAATTGGAAGAACATGCAGATAGGTACATCCTTGTTGGGGGACCCTCAAATGATAGGGTAGCCTCTAAAAATGTTCCTATGCCTTCAAAAAAAGAGGATTTGGCCAATAATATAGGGCTACGTCAGAAAGCTATTGCTAAAATTCAGAACCAGCATTTGACTACCCCTATGTTACTTGTAGATAGGCAAGTTGTGTTGCCTCCTGTTCAAAATACAGCAATGGAAGTGGATCAGAACGTGGGGGACCAAAGTGGGAGTGATAATGGTTTAAAATATCCTAAAGCTCCGGATCCTAATAGGACTTTGGTCACTACCCATTCGGATGCGTCTATTTTATCGCATCACATGGAGGTTGATAAAGGAGGTATAAATGAAGATAGTGTTGAGATTGTTAAGGGGTCAGCAGGGTACCAGGAACCTGCAACCCTTATGGTTGATTGATGTCTTTGCTGGCTTGGAATTGTCGCGGGGCGGCAAAGAAAAGGTTTTTGGGAACCTTAACTAGTATGATCCGAAAACACAGAATAGATTTGACTGCTATTTTTGAACCTAGAATAAGTGGTGCGAAAGCTCAAAAGATTATTAAAAGAACAGGGTATAACAACTGTATTGTGGAAGAAGCTCAAGGTTTCATGGGAGGGATCTGGGTTTTGTGGAACAAGGAGTTCTGTAATGTTACGATTTTGGAAAAGAACATGCAAATGGTTCATTTGAAAGTTTGTTTCTCCGATAATGTTGCGTTCTTATGCACATTTATTTACGCCAATCCTAGAGAAGAGGTGAGACGTAGCCTTTGGCAGGATCTTCGTCGGATTGCTGATTCTATGAATGAGCCCTGGCTTATCACCGGTGATTTTAATGAAATTGCTTCCCCTTTTGAGAAACGTGGAGGTGCCCCGGTAGATTTATATAAATGTAACAGATTTGCTTCCTTGCTTACGGATCTGAAGATGATTGATTTGAATAGTTCCGGTTCGAGATTTACTTGGCGTGGTCCTCGTTTCCTGAATATGGATAGAGTTTTCAAACGGTTAGATCGTGCTTGCAGTAACGATTTATGGAGGGTTACATTTGAGGAGGGTCATGTTAGAGCCCTTCCTAGGTTAAACAGTGACCATAACCCCCTTCTTATATCCTTGTCTTCTTCAAAAGATGAGTGGAAGGATCGTCCTTTCCGTTTCCATTCCTTTTGGCAGGACCATATCCTGTTCAATCAATTTTTAAAGGACAATTGGCACGTGCATGGGAACATTGCTGATTGTTTGAAGGTTCTTACCCCTTGCATTAAGGAGTGGAATGAGAAGGTGTTTGGGAATATTAAGCATAGGAAGAATAAGTTGATGAGAAGACTTGAAGGTATTCAAAGAGCCATTTCTGAGCACAATAAAGATTATCTGGAGAAAGTGGAGTGCAAGATCAAAGCTGAACTTGAGGAGGTCCTTGATCAAGAGGAGTTATTATGGTATGAAAAGTCTCGAACTCAGTGGATTAATCAAGGTGACAGAAACACGAGATACTATCATACAAAGACTATTGTCAGAAGGAAAAGAGGTAGAATCGTGGAACTCAAGGATGATAATGGAAGTTGGATTCGTGAAGAGGAAGGCCTGGTTAAGATGATCCGCGATTTTTATATTAATCTTTTCAAAGATGAAAGCTGTCATCGTGAGTGGATCAATACTAGATGGCCTATTGTTCCTGAGGAAGTCATGGATAAATTAAGGGTGAGTGTTACTAAGGAGGAAGTTAAAAAAGCTTTTTTCACAATGAAAGGCTCAAAAGCCCCAGGGGAGGATGGGTACATAGCTGCTTTTTATCAAAAGAACTGGAATCTGGTAGGTGATCAAGTCTGGAATGCTTTCCTAGCTTATTTGGAAAACCCGCAAACCATTGCTGATATTAATGGTACGATTATTACCCTTATCCCAAAGGTTAATAAGCCTACGTTGGTTTCTCAATTCAGGCCAATTTCCTTGTGCAATGTGATTTACAAAGGCATGAGTAAAGTTATAGTGGGTAGACTGAAGGAAGTAATGGAAGCTTTGGTTTCTGATAACCAAACCAGCTTTGTCCCAAACAGAAACTTGCAGAATAACATTATTGCAGCTAAAGAGATTGTCCATTCGATGACAAAGTTTAAAGGTAAGATGGGTACTATGGCCATTAAAATTGATTTAGAGAAAGCCTATGATAAGCTGAATTGGTCGTTTATTCGTAAGGTTATCTCTGAAATACAGCTTCCGTCTTGGATGGTTGAATTCATTATGGCGTCTATCACAACTAATAGTTTCAAAGTGCTTGTGAATGGGGGCTTGACTGAAACTATTATTCCTGAACGTGGAATTCGACAGGGTGATCCATTATCCCCATACATCTTTGTCTTATGTGTTGAAAAGCTATCTCATCTTATTGCTCAAAGGGTTGGCAGTGGTGTGTGGAAACCGATCAGAGTGTGTAGAGGTGGTCCAGCAGTCTCCCATCTCATGTTTGCAGATGATATTGTCCTTTTCTCTGAAGCTTCGGTGCAGCAAATGCAGGTAATAATGGAGTGTTTAGATCTTTTTTGCAGAATGTCTGGTCAAAGTATAAGTGTTCATAAGTCTACCATTTATTTCTCTTCCAATACATCTGATGCAACTGCAAATGCAATTTCTGCGCTCTCTGGGTTCAAAAGAGTTAGTAGCATTGGTAAATAT